CTATGAAAATATTCGAAGAAAAGTTGTGTCTTGAGGATTATCTTGTTTCATAATTGTTGAGCTTACTTCCATTTTGAGCGAAATTCACCTGCAGCATTACTCAGAATATTATGCAAAAAGTCAACTATTAATGTTTAATTTCCTAATACGATCTTGGATAATTAACGTTTTCATTGTAGCTAAGACGAATAACTGAGTTTCGATGAATTTCCCAAGTTGACATTGTTGAGGAGACTTTTGTCTTGTTTGAAAGTATACGAAGAAAAGTTGGGTTTCGTGTAATCTCTTGTTTCATAATTGTTGATCTTACTTCCATTTCGATTGAAAGTGTGTGGTGAAGAGATTCCAACCTCGGTTTCACCAGAAGATTATGGCGGATTTCTCTTGACCATCTGTAGTTTGACTTTACTGGAACATTTTAGCTGAATCTGTTTCCAAGGTAATCTTCTTCGATTCCGGTGAAAAGGTGCTAAGCTTTCGTCCTTCTCATGACGGGCATCATCAGAGCGAGGTACCATCATCATAACAAAATTCATGCTAACGAGTCAAGAAAACTGATCGGAAACTTAGCACCTTTTCACCGGAATCAAAGGAGATTGCCTCGCAAACAGTATCACCATTCATGATCCAGTAAAGCCAAACGACAGCTGGTCAAGAGTAATTTGCCGTCGTCTTCTGGTAGATTCGAGTTTCAAATCTCTTTATCAAACACTTTCACTCGAAATGGAAGTAAGCTCAACAATTGTATAAAAGTGCCTGAAGAAGCGATTCGATTGTCGAGCTCATCAGAAGACGACGTCTGATCCGCATTTCACTTGACCAATTTGTTCACGTAACGGCTGACACAGTCTACGAGTCATCCTCTCACCCTTCGAATGATAATGGGCGGCGCCTTTATCCATCAAATAACCGACATTATCAAAGCTACAACTAATTCTTGTAAAAGAACGGACGAGTTAACGAACACCAGGTCAGGTATGATGCTGAAGTACCTTTTATTTTAGTTTGGAGAAACGAGCAGAAAGGATTTATAAGTTATCCTCACAGACTGCAGTTTTATGCTATTTCAAAATCCAGTTTTTCTATATCCTTACGTCAAGAAGGCTGTCTGGCTTTATGTCACCTTTTATATACATTTTTTGTTTGAAAGTATGTTTTCGAACGAGGCCATATGCACTCACTTTCATAAATCACACGATTAAAAAAGCTTATTTCGTGAGTGAGTAGATTTTCGAGACCTCCAGCAAATAAAATATTTGAGTTGTTTTCATCCTATTTCGTTTGAGCTGATGAAGGACTGGTAATTGACTTTTCCCACAATTATGTAAGTAGAGCTGACGCTTCATTAAATTTCACATACCCTTGCCGTCCAGGCAGAAGTGGACTGCATTCTCGACCCCGTCTAGGTCCTATCAACACCCCAGCGGGATTCGAACCAAGTCAGATTCTGTGGTGGGATTGCCGATGCAGCAATGTTACAGCAAATACATCTTTGCTTCATCAACAATTCCACTAAAGAAGTTGACATGGGAAAATGCCTGGTTTTCGTTGAAATTCACACCTGCCATGTGACCCAAGGGCACTGGTGGCAATATTGCGTAGTGGTGAATGTGTCGAGACTATACTTTGCACTGGCATGGTTGAGCCCATTTGGGGGTCCTGATGAAACCAAGACGAGGAAAGGTCTAAACTGCGGTCCGCTCCTGGCCGTATTAGAATAGCTTTTGGGAAGCAAGGCCATGATGCTAAATGGAATGGAAAGAAAACAGGGAGAAATAGCGTCCGGAGTGAAATCAGTCAACCGGAAAGATTAGTAACGCATCTACAGGACCATGAAGGTGATCCGGACTGGAGACTCGAGTCGGATCAGTCGATCGAAAGAGAAAAGGTCGGGGTGAATAGCAAAATGGGATACATTTTGACGAGTGAAATGTGAACAAGTGAGAAGTTATGATAGGGCGGCAGTGGGATAAGAGGGCAAAGAGTGTATAGCTAGACCAGGACAGAAAGAGGAGTTAGAATGTAACCGTTTTCGGCAGAACTTGACTGATTATGCCGACGAAACGTTTGAGAATGTACCAAGTACATGGTCTGGTGTTGGGACAACTACTATGACAGAGTCGTCATGACAACAAGACCAAGTTGTGACAATGAGGTCAATTTCGAAAGAAGACTGCGACCATACCAGAGGCCACAACATCTTGGTCTTCATATCTTAAAGTGCAGACAATAACTAATCATGTGAATAAAAGCCGAGATGGTTCCTCTCACTTTCTGCTGTAGAGACTTGTTGTGAATTGGCTGTTGTCAGGCTTTCTTTTAGCAACATTTACTTGTCTTTTTTACAATTTACGGCGCGCCGACTGGCAATGCAACCGGTCAACTGACCACTGTTTGAAGAAGTCGTGGTACCAATGCATGCGGACGCCGCGAAAATCCGACTAACTTGCACACAAGATCAAGTACAGCAAATGGGCGTATCATGTATGAACCCTTTGGGGGTCACCTATTATGATCTGTGCAATTGGCCAATCCCCGT